ATGAACATGAGTCTGTGAGCAGATGTGCACGCATGAACACATCAACAATGAAACAGATCAGCAGCAACATGAAACAGATCAGCAGCAACATGAAACAGATCAGCAGCAACATGATATGGTTTTTCACAGTGATTATTCTAGTTAGAGATTCATGAGTCTAACAGCCTCAGGGTAGAAGCTGTTCCTCAGTCTAGTGGTTCTACACTTAATGCTCCTCAACCTCCTTCCTGAGGGGAGTGGGGCAAAAAGTGTGTGTGCTGGGTGAGTGGGGTCCTTCATGATGCAGGTGGCCCTCTTCCTGCATCTGGAGGTGTAGATGTCTGTGATGGTGGGAAGGCTGATTCCAACAACTGATTCCAAGGCCGATTAAAAAAATGAGTTTGATAATTTTCATTTATTATGTGATTAATTGATTTAATGTTTATTGCGACAGGCCTAGTGGCAACCTTTGACTAGCAATTGTGAAAAAAAATCTTTATATAATTTTACTGTGACTTCAGTAAGTCTAATTTTTATAGCAAAACAAATGTTTCATTGTGGTGTTCTCCTGAAATTTAAGGCAAACAGCTGATTTATTTTTGTTTTGGTGTTAAGTTTTGTTTCACATGTAAATGGCAGTACGGTCTAGAGACTCTGTATGAAATCAGATATTTGTTTGTTTCTGTTTTCCTGCAGTGGACACCTACAATGACATGTCTTTTGGAGACATCTTCCTGCACCTGCTGACCGGACACCTCACACTGCTCTCAGATGAGTTTGGATCAGAGGACTTTTGTTCTTTTGTCTTTGATGGTTTCCTTCTCACTTCCTTCTCCAGGTGGGTTCATTTCATACTGTTTAATGTGTAATTCCAGTGACTGCTCAGCAATAAGGGAGGCTGAATTTTACTGTGCTGCAAAAACTACAAAAACTATCTGAACTAATTCTGTGTACAAGTTATTGTCCCACTGTCGCAGAGCGAAGAGGGGACAATGCCCTCTCTCTCTTCATCTGTCCTTCAGTGCATGTTGTGAGCATGATAACTTGAAACATACAGTGGTGCTTGAAAGTTTGTGAAGCTTTAAGAATTGTCTATATTTCTACAGAAATAGGACCTAAAGCATCATCAGATTTTCACACGAATCTAAAAATAGATAACGAGAACCCTTTGGTAGAACCACTTGTGTGCTGAGGGTCATTGTTGCTGCATGACCCACCTTCTCTTGAGATTCAGTTCATTGACAGATGTCCTGACATTTTCCTTTAGAATTATCTGATAGAATTCAGAACTCATTGTTCCACCAATGATGGCGAGCCGTCCTGGCCCAGACCCAAACCGTACTACCACCACTACGTTTCACAGATGTTTCACTATTAGGTTGTTTTGCAGGAATGCAGTTTTCCTTTCTCTAAACTTAACACTTTTCATTTAAACCCAAAAGTTCTATTTTGGTCTCATCGTCCACAAAACATTCTTCAACAGTCTTCTGGTTTGTCCACATGATCTTTATCAAACTGCAGACGAGCAGCAATGTTCTTTTGGAGTTTTTGGAGAGCATCCAAAAAAGTTCAATCTGGTCCTCTGGACATTCAAAAAAACAAACAAAAAAAAAACAAAACAAAGCAAAAATATATAGAAACGTTTCATCTCTCATCCTGAGGACTTCCTCAGTCTGAGGTGCTGTATTCAGCTCAGTCTCTTAAATAGCACCTTCTCAGAGTGGATCAACCAGTTTTGCTGCTGACAACCAAAACCAGCTGATCACATGCTCAAGAAGGACCATCAGCCTAACAATGGATCATTAGCACCTGATGGCTGTTTACTGTTCACAGAGGGCTGAGTGATACTAGCAATCACAGCATTGTAAGAGGGGGACAATTGAACCCGGAGGCTCCACCCCTGTTTAATGATGGACGGTTTCTTTTCACAAAGATGGCCTCCTTTACTCCTCTCTCAAACCATCGTTCCTCTCTGTCCAGGATGTGAACATCTTCATCCTTGAAAGAGTGACCTCTGACCTGGAGATGAGTGTAGACCTCAGAGTCCTGGCCTGATGGTGTTGATCTTCTGTGCTGGGCCATCCTTTTGGCCAGTGGCTGTTTAGTTTCCCCGATGTAAGACTGATCACCTTCCTGACACTGAACAACATACACAATATTACTCTGTTTGTGCCGGGGGACTGGATCTTTGGGATGAACCAGTCTTTGTCGTAATGTATTTTGGGGTTTAAAAGCCACTGGGACGTTATGTTTAGAAAATAAACGTCTTAGAAAATGTCACATCACTCTTTACGTGCATTCCTGTTGATGATGCAGTAGAGGTGGTCAGTTTAAAATTAAAATCAGACACCACTCTGAGCAGAAGGACCACGCTTTCCACAGAACAACTGTGTCAACTCTTGAAACTGTGCCTGCAGTCAACCTACTTCACATATGGGGAGCAATATTATAGGCAGAAACATGGGTGTGCTATGGGGTCTCCAGTTTCTCCTATTGTTGCCAACCTGTACATGGAGGAGGTAGAAAAGAGAGCCTTGACGTCCTTTTCAGGGACACCACCAAGTCATTGGTTCAGGTATGTTGACGACACCTGGGTTAAAATCAAATCTCAGGAAGTCCAACATTTTACTGACCACATCAACTCTGTGGATAAATACATCAAGTTCACACGAGAAGATGTAAAAAATGGCAGGTTGGCTTTCTTGGACTGTGAGGTCTCAGTCTCTGATAAAGGACATTTGCAAACCGAGGTGTACCGCAAACCCACCCACACAGACCAGTATTTGCAGTTTGACTCCCATCACCCTTTGGAGCACAAGTTAGGAGTCATCAGGACTCTGTACCACAGAGCAGACAGCGTCCCCACTAGCTCAGGAGCCAGGCAGAAGGAGAAATCCCACACAAGACAGGCTCTAGAGCAATGTGGATATCCTAACTGGGCCTTCCTGAAAGCAGAGAAGAAACCCAAACAGGACTCCAGTCAGCCAACAGGTGAGAAGGAGGAACCCAGACCCAGACCAGTGGTCATTCCATATGTTGAGGGAGTATCAGAGAAACTGAGACGTTTATTTTCTAAACATAACGTCCCAGTGGCTTTTAAACCCCAAAATACATTAAAGACTGGTTCATCCCAAAGATCCAGTCCCCCGGCACAAACAGAGTAATATTGTGTATGTTGTTCAGTGTCAGGAGGGTGATCAGTCTTACATCAGGGAAACAAAACAGCCACTGGCCAAAAGGATGGACCAGCACAGAAGATCAACATCATCAGGCCAGGACTCTGCGGTCTACACTCATCTCCAGGCCAGCGGTCACTCTTTCAGGGATGAAGATGTTCACATCCTGGACAGAGAGGAACGATGGTTTGAGAGAGGAGTAAAGGAGGCCATCTTTGTGAAAAGAAACCGTCCATCATTAAACAGGGGTGGAGCCTCCGGGTTCAATTGTCCCCCTCTTACAATGCTGTGATTGCTAGTATCACTCAGCCCTCTGTGAACAGTAAACAGCCATCAGGTGCTAATGATCCATTGTTAGGCTGATGGTCCTTCTTGAGCATGTGATCAGCTGGTTTTGGTTGTCAGCAGCAAAACTGGTTGATCCACTCTGAGAAGGTGCTATTTAAGAGACTGAGCTGAATACAGCACCTCAGACTGAGGAAGTCCTCAGGATGAGAGATGAAACGTTTCTACATTTTTTATTGTTTTGCTTTGTTTTGTTTTGGGTTTTTTGAATGTCCAGTGGAGCAGATTTAACTTTTTTAGTTGTCAGTACAAACGGCACGCGGCTGTGTCCCCCAAAACTGTTGGTTTAAACAACGCGCTGCGCAGCGTAGGATGAGTCTCCGTTCCAGCCCCCCCACACACACACTCACAAAAAATCACAAACGAGAAGAGCGCACCTCCATGGCACGTTATTTAGGGGAAACACTGTCACTGTAATGAAGATTAGACATTTAACCATAGTTTTTAATTAATTTAATCAGCTAGAAGTCTCAACTGTTATCTGTTATTACTGTTATTATAAACTACTAGTTCCTCCACTGCTGCCTTCCCTAGTAGTCATCAATACAAATCAGAGAAATATATTCGTTTATTCCATGACTCAACTCCAACATTATTCGTGACACAGTTGACAGTTGTGTTCAGGCGATAACTGGCAGCTACACTCTGTTCCGAGCAACCAGTCACAAGGATGCGCAGCGTGACCGCCACTCTCTGTGCAGCGGTGGCTGCCCTGGTGTTGAAGAAATGGGACCAAGTGTTCTACCAGCTCATCAAACTTGCTCGAATCCATTTGAAAATATTCAAAATATTTCTCGCTGTCCATCGTCTTCAAGTCCTTAACCAGTGTATTAAATTCCCCTTCTTCATCCCTGGTCTGGTTTAATGGCTTTATATACCACCTTCTTTTCTTTTGTTTTTTTAAGCTAATAAGAAGCAAACAATCTCCTTCCTCATCATCTATTGACAACATGACTAAATGAATGAAGGAAATGATGAAATTAAGGCAATGACGACATGAATTTGGCGCGAGAATGTATGCTCGAGTATGAAGTCTCAACCCTCTGCGGACAGTGCGCGTCGAGTCCGCAAGAAAAAAGGTCCACGCGAGTATACTGGAACTTTAAGATTGGACAATTTTCCTCAATAAAACTTTCAAGCAGCACTGTAAGTGAGGTACCAACTTCCACTTAGCTGGATCTAGGCGTAAGAAAGGTCACTGTCAAAAATTGGGTTGCTAACTCAAAATACAAAATGGCCACCACTATATATGTATTTATGTAAACCAGCCACCCTATCATTTGAGGAAACTATGCTTTCTAGTTTTTATTTTGTTTAAAATAATAATTTCCTCAAACAATTGGGGTGGCTGAAAATGTATTTAAGGTGGCCAAGGCCATCACCAGTGGCCACCCCATGGCTCCACTATTGTTTCTGGTGGTGGATGAAATTGCTCCTTCAGCTCACCAGGATCTGTCACTTTAAAAAAAAAAAAATATTACCACTGTTCTGTGTAATTCCAACCCGCTTGTATATCTTGCACCAAAAACATTAAGGTTTACTTGCATTCCTTGTTCAAACATTCATTGTTAAAATCTCTTAGTGACGAGGGACATCGGTGCACCACTTATGTTTATATTGAATTCCACCATCTTAGTCCTGTTGCTGTATTTGAATGTCTTTCAGTAAAGAAAACGTCCACAGACACATCCTGCGCATGTTGCTGCATCTGCACCACAAAGTTCTGCCCTCATATATGGAGACTTTGATGAAGACTCTTGAACCTCCCAAACAGGTTGGTGTGGTTTCAACTCTCAGCTCATGCTTTAAGACGGACTTGTAGGGCTGTGCACAGTATAATCAGCATGTCTGCTCCTTTTTACCGCTGCTTTGCCTTTCAATAGTTTGTCACTTGGCTGCTTGGTTGGTGACTAGTTTGTGAACGGCATTCACAAGGAAGTCTCTAGTCTTTGGTGGGGGTTGTCTGTTTCTTGCAGGTTCTTGTCTCGTAAATTTTGAACCTATGAAAAAAAATTGGGAACAAATTTTCTCTCAGAATAGTCAAAGTTGCCTCAGACATCTTGAATCATTTTATATAAATGATAAAGGATTTAGCCTGGTGTGACCATTTGAAATTCTTTCCTTCTGTCCCTCAGTAGACACCAGGCCCGAAATGTGTTCATTATGTCTTTGGATTTGGAGCGACACAACTCCCAGTCAGTATTACTGTAATTCTCAGGCTTTAAAGCACACCTGTCTCTAAGCCGCACTCATTAAATATAAGACAAATCATAATTTGTACATAAATAAGATGCTCCAGTTATTTAGCCACGGGCATCCACCGTTCATCGTCGGAATCTGTGCCCAGCCAGCTCTGTGCAGCGTTCTTGATGTAGTGCAAGAATCAGCCAGCAGGTGGCGTTTCACAGAATATAGCTTGCTTTCAACACACGTTTAGACTGCAAGATCATCACGAGTATCCATGGACAGAACAGTGCCAAACACCTACGTAACTGAAATTATTTAAAAATGATTTTACCAAGAAGTCTTATCGAGGTCATGTGACTGGAAGTCAAATAGTAGCGGTTAATATGTGGTAAATATTCATTAAATTAGTGCCATTAATTTTTATTGGTAAACGTTTTTGTTAACTGCTGTTTTTAAATGTACTTTCTAAATAAATTTGACCATTCTCCTCAGCAGAGCTCATATGAGGCGAAGGAGAATAGAAAGGGGAACAGCCCCCTCCCTCCTGTTGTCTCCTCCTTTCTGTGCGGAGCCTAAATTACATATTGGTATTTAAACACATATTTACCGTACACAAAAAGATTTTTTTAAAACTTTTATTTAAATTATTATCAGTCTTGACTGACTGACTGACTGGCTGCTTTAAAAATAAATCTGACATCACTTCTCCATCGGTGAGCTCATGACGGAAGGGGAGGGGAAAGAACCTCTCCGGTTTGTTGTCTCTTCTGCTCCGTTTCATGCATTCGGATGAGACTTTAAAATGAGATCCCGGTATTTAAATGCATATTTACAAACACGGAAAGATGTCACACAGAATTTTTTTTAAACTTTTTTATTAAAACGTACCAGACTTGACTGCTTTTGCGTCTCCACTTCTGACCATCGACGCATGTTGATGCAGCTTACAAGCAGCTGTTTCCTCCTCGACAGCCGATTGCTTTTAACATGAAAGTTGCATCTTAAGAAATTCTCCGTGCATTTTCCATTATCGCTGAACAATTGAACAGGTCTGTGCATGAAGCGCAAAATACGATAAACAACACAGGTGTCACGAAGCAAGGTTTTAGGATTCAAACTCAGCCAGACAACAAGAATGATAAAACAAAGAAACAGTTTTATTGGTTGATTTCCAGCTGCTGGGGAGACTCAGGATCCAATTGCAGTAACAGGTCTTTGCAGGCAGGTGGAGTGAGAGCCACCAGTTCAAATTTTAAAAAGATGAACTGGTGGGAAGACCGATGCAGAGGGAGGCCTTTAATGCTGTGAACAGTGGGGCAATGCAGAAAAGAACTGGGTGGGTGGAAGAGGTCTTGGAGGAGGGTATGAAATAGATTGGTAACCAGAATGGCCGTCCAGAGCTGTTACAGGGCTTGAGTGGGTGGCCAGGAGGTTGTCCGACAATTAGCAATGTCCAGGGAAAAAGGCCGGGTGACCCTCCAAGACCTCGAGATGGGGCCAGATCTGCAGCAGGCGACGTGGAGGCCGTGGGGTCTGCCACAATAGAGGATGACACAGGAGTTGATTTTCACTCCTGTCCTGTTCTGGTCCCACAGAAAAAATCCTGTCCTGTCCCAATCCTGGTCCAGAGTAAAAAAAAATAATCCTGTCCTGTCCCACTCCTGGTCCTGGTAACATGACTCCTGCTCCTGTCCTGTTCAAAACAAGAACAGTTTTTATTTATTATGCTGCTGGTTGCTGGAGTCAGGGTCCAAGGCAGGAGTCCAATCTTCTCAGTCTGTACGTGGCAGGTGGAATCTAGAGGCGTGGTCCGATGAACGTAGCAGGGGTCAAGCACTATGAAGCAGAGAAGCAAGAACAGGGCCGAGTCGTGATCCAAAAGAGTAGTCAAGGGAGAGCAAGAGTCATTACCGTGATCAGAGAGGCAGAGCAGAACCAGATGAGGAGCAGGCAAAAATGGGAAATCCAGAAGGCAAGGCATGAGGTCGAAAATCCAATAACAATGCTTAAGGTTCAGGCATGAAACAAGAAAGCTATGATGTCTGGAAAATCAGGGACCATGAGTGGTGTAATAATCTGGCACTGGACAAATGAAAGTGGAGCTCTTAAATAAGGCCAAAAACAGGTGCAGTGAATCAGGGCTGATGAGCTGAATGTGCAGACAGGGGCGTGGCTTAATGACAGAAGAAAACATGACATGAAGAGGCAGGGAAAAACAACATATGACAAAGAGGTGCAGCAAACATGACACGAGGGGCTGTGAGTGAGGTAGGGGACAGAGGAAGTAATGATGGCATAAAGGGGCAGAGACTTAAGCAGAATGGGGCAAGCAGAGATCGCTGATCATGACAACGGGAACGTTTTTAAGAAATTAATTCACGTCTATCTTGGGGTATGGTCCTCAAGATTGATACTATTAATTTTCTCAAAACTGTACTTTTTGGAAGTTGAAATTAAAAATTTTGTTTATTAGGTGTATCTTGAATGAAAAATACCCCATGTTTAAAAGTATAAAATTGTATTAACACTATTAAAGAACAGATCTTAAGTATTTGTTACACAAATATTTCCATTGCATTAAAGAGACAAATTGAAGAAAATTATTTAATAAACATGAGGGTTATGAGGGGGTCCCTGAAACTCTTCTCCCATGTATGGGGTTCCTGAACCCACAAAAGTTTGAGAAGCCCTGGTGTAGAACATGTGGATGAAAACGTTTGAGACAGTGCTGTGTTCATGAGAATATATTTTGAAAGACAACCCCAAAAAAGACACTTTAGTTCATTTTTCTCTTTGATGCAGCAGCATATTTGCTGAACGTTTGTGTTTCTGTGACCACAGTGCAGCGAACCGCTGAAGGACTTACACAGTCAGCTAATAGAGAAGCTGGAGGCCCAGAAGAAGAGCCCACCGCCCCTGGATGAGACTGCATCCCTGGACCTGGGGCTGCACCCGGTCTCTGTGCCCACCACCCCCTCCACTCCGACCACACCTCTCTGAGGCAGAAGGGCATAAGACCAGCTGTCGAGTGAATACGTCACATTTCTTTTACATTTAGCTTCTGTAGATATTAGTCTCCCCGCTGTGGCAGTGTGATCCAACTACCATGTATTTTTTTTCTGGCAATTTTTATTATAAAAATGATGTTCTTGTGTTTAGGTTCAAATTTACAGTATTTCTTGTGTCATCTGTGTGTAATATTTGCACTATCAGCAGAGCAGGAAGCTTGTAAATAAACAGTTGTTTCCGAACTCCTCCGTGTTTCATTCTGAATGACAGTGTTGTCGAGGTGTCAGCCATCAGGCACAAAACTCACAAGAAAATTTTAAGAAAGTGTTTTAAGAGTTAGGAGCTCATTGGGTGATTGCACTGCTGTGAAAGAAGCAGCAGCACGCACTAAGGAACGCTTCAGCTCTGGTAAGGTCCTTTTTAATAAACCGTACAGAAGAATGGCTGCTGCTTACATGATGCTGAACTTCAAACTGCAGTATATAAAGACTTTACACATCAACATGTTTTTGATTGAAGCAATAGTTAGACTCAAGTTGTTTACCAAAACTTGCATGATGCTTAATGACAGCAAGGTAAAAATCTGGAAAAAACCTGATACCGGATTTCCCAGAACCCACTGAGCTGAACATTTCTAAAATAGAATCGAAAGTGAGTCTTGCAAAAAGGGTTGCTCTGATTGTCTCCAGAAAATGCATTTTTGGTTATTTGTCAATGTCTTGCTTTAACTTTGGTGTGAATTAAATTATTTTAAACTAAGGTAAAGTCTCTTGGTTGTACCTGCCGATCCAAACCAACCCAGAAAGGTGTTTGTACCTTAACAGTTTTGGGGGCTCGTCCGGGATCGAGGAGAAGGTACAGAATTGGATCAATCAGACTGGTCAACTCTGGCATCGAGAGGAAAAGGCGCGCCTCATCAGATAAGCAGTGCCTGTTGGTCTCAAGACCCGAAATCTGCATATTTGACCGTTAAAATCCGAATTTAAAACCTCTTGATGTCGGAGAAAAACTGTCTGCTAAACTGAAATAAAAGAGACAGTAAAGGTTTAGTCGCTAAGGATAAGAATAAAGTTAAATAAGCTCAGAGGTAGCGCTCCGCTTGTTTCCTGATGAGGAACGAGAAAAGCGGAAAGGCGGTTCCGCTAGCTGGATTACAAACACTCGAGGACTTGGGCCCTCAAAGTTTGATTTGAGTTGAAAATAGGATTTTCATAAAAGAGGCATGGACTCATGGGAAACGAACAGTGTATTATAAAGTGGTGAACTGGACTCGGCTCGTGTGCGTTTGTGTATGAAAGAATAAGTTGGCCAAAAGATGCTCCGGTGAGGAGCCTTCGAGTTCGCTATTGACTAAAAGGCTAAGTCAGGCCGGAAATGACCTGCAGCTTTGTCCACGAGACGCCTTACGAAGTGTACTTCAAACAGCACTCGAAAAGCCAACAGAGTCAAGGAAAAACACAAAATAAACTGAGTAGGGAACTGTGAATGCCCAACCATGGACGGCGAATGCGACGGAGTGACAAATTAGTGTGAATGGAGTTCACTGCTGGGAATGAATGAAATTTATAAAACTACGTCAGAACAAAATACTATGGTCTTAGCCACCATAGAGCGGCTTTATTCAGGTAAAGGGAGCAAACAAATAAGAAAAAAACTAACAAAATTACTGGAAGAGTTGACAAAACAGGCAGGAGGCCACTCAAGAGAGCCACTGGCTAGAATCGCATGGAGGAGGGCTAGAGAAGCCAGAAAGAAAATAGTGCTTGAAGAGGAGAAATTAGCTAGAGGAACGAAGTGTTTGACTAGATTCAGAACTAGAAAACAGAAAGATGAGTGTGAGGAGGAGGAAAAAGGCTGGAGAGAATTAGCTTTGATATGTCAAAGTGTGCAACAGTTGAACAGAGCAGAGAAACGGCTGAAGGGAGCGCCCCTTATCAGAAAGGAAAGGTCAAACCCACAGCACCCACGGTGGTGGGGCTTTATCTGTGTTTGGACATAGAGGCAGGGACGTTGAAGGTCACAAGTTTGCAGCAACCCCAGACGGGGGTGGATCAGACGGAGGGAAAGCTGGTGGATCAGACGGAAGAGAGAAAGCTGATGGATGAGATGAGTCAGAGAAAGAAAGGAGCAGGAAGACTCTTGGTCAGAGGTATGAGAGAGGCACCTGGAGGAAGAGAGGAGGTCAGCTGAAAAACAAACAGAAGGAACTCAGGAAAGTGATGAAAAAACGGAGGCAGACACGTGTTGTGGAGATGAAGGTGGTGTAGAGAAGTTGCCGGGAGCAGTGGTGAGGAAGAAGAACGGGTCGAAGGTCACAGGAAAGAAAGGGAAGAATACAGAAGGTTGTACAGGAAGGATAAAGGTAACCGGTAACTTTCTTCGTGAACAAATCCATTCCACTTGATTAACAGGGGAATACTCAAGCTACTAAAACTTCAGGTTTTCCTGGTTACTTCCAGGTTACCTCCAACTCTACACACCGAGCAGAAACTGTGCAGGCAGCAAGCTGCTGAGTTTCCTGCCTTTGCAGAAAACGCACACAGGTGCAGGAGATGGAGACACCTCTGTGTCGATCGCTTAGCGAGCTTAGTGTGGGCAGTTGTTGACCGGGGGTTGATCATAAACATATATACATGGTTAGGAAGATGCTTGAGAGGAGCGCTACGTCTGTAGCATCTCAGCAGTAACTGTGACGCTGTGAGACGTTGCAGGTGTAAGAGACGCGGTGTGTTCAGGTGCATTAAAGTTGAAATGTCTTTAAACCCCCACACCTTATTGTCCTCAACCTTCATGAGAAACATCATTTAGATGAGGAGTGTTGAACACAAGTAAAAAAGTCCAGTGGTGAAGTTTTTTATTTCTCTATAAACACAAATAGTGCTGATCTGATGCTGTGTGTTAAAGTGTATTAAAGTTAAAATGTCTTTAAAACCCACAGCTGAATTTACACAAACATAGTGAGAAACATGCTTTAAATGCGTGGAATTAAAGGAAATCTAGGTGAAATGCTGTTTTTTTTTTTTTTGTACATTAGTGTACACTTCTTTACGCACGCGCGCGCGCACACACACCTACACACATCATTGTGTCCCCCCCACATTACAGATGCTTCTGACGCCCTTGGTCAAAAGTACGGGGAGACATGGACAAACTGAGCAACAACAGCCATACTTTCAACAGGCCGTCCTTGAGGGCCTGCCAAGGGAGGTGGCAGAAGAAATTAGAAAAAATCCTGACCTGTTAGGCGCAGACTCAGCAAAATGGGAAAAACATGTCGCCCATCATTTACAGGTTGCTAAAGATCTGGTAAGAAAAGAAGAAAAAGACCTGCAGGCTCAATTGCTGAAGCTCCAGCTGAGTGAGGCCCGCCAAATAGTAAACGATAGAAAGTGTAATAAAAAACAAATGATGATGGAGGAGGTAAATTATCCACCTCCTGGTATGTATGAGGTCCAACAATGGACCGGCCCACCACACCCCAGACCTAGATGGACACCAGCACCATTCAGGAACGGCAGCAGTGGTCAACGGGGAAGGGGCGTGTGGCAAAAAGGGGGAGGCCGGGGTGGACATCTGAGGGGACCGCAGTGGAGTGATGCCTGATTCAACTGTGGTCAACTCGAACACTGGGCCAAGGACTGCAAAGGGGGGCCCACCAGCTCACCCTTACCATCCTGCACCGGACCAACCAGCTGGGCCCTACCCACTCATGAACGGGGGCCTGGGATATCAGAACCAGTGACACACTCCACAGAATAACATGTATGCCTGGGGAGGGGCCGACCCCATGCTGAACATACAAGTGATGAGTGACACTTTGCCCTTCCTGGTGAACACAGGAGCAACGTACTCAACAATTAACAAACAGCCGTCAAAATGTAAACTATCCACACAAACTGTGGAAGTTGTAGGTTTTTCTGGGGTGAAACAAGAACTGCTAATAACTGTTCCGGTGACAACTGTGGTGGGATCACAATCGCTCACACATCTTTTCTTAATTGCCACAGCAGCACCTGCCAATCTCCTGGGCAGAGACTTGCTGATTAAACTGGGCACCTTCATCACGTGTGGACCAGATGGCCTGGTGGTGCAGCTCCCGGACGGGACTGAAATGAACTGTGGACTCACATCAGCCTCCCATTCACAGTGTATGATTCAGCCCGTGCACCCAGAACATGCAGACATCTACTGGGACCTGCTAGAACCTGAAGACCCGGGAGGGGCAGGTGTGCTCTCTTCCTACCTGAGGTGGAAACCTTGGATCTCTTCCTTGGAGCCCTATGTGCCCACCCCAGACCCATTGCATGCGACCCTGTTTTATGATAGAAAGGGGGACAAGGTGTACCAGGAACATTTCCAAGAGCAATTAGAGGGTAAAACATGGGTTATTCAATCTGGTAAAATGTACCTGGGTAATGAAGGGGTGGCTGCTGTAGTCAAACTAAATGCTGAACAAGAATCTTGGTACATGATGAGCCCAGAAGCTGTGCCTCACGTTTCTTTAGCACTCCACCCAAAACACCAAGCAAAAGACTTAGGGCCCATGGTCAAGAGGGCTATAGAAGCCGATGACTGGGCCCCTACACAGCTAAAAGATGTGTGGTACTCGTCCAGCTGCAGCTGTTTTGCAATCGAGTCTCAGGCAGCCGATAAGGTCACACAAACTCATGAACTTTTATCTAGACAACATGGTTGAGAAAAAACAGACCACCTGCATACCCAAACTTTACTTGACAAACTGCCTCCACACTTGTGGTCGGCAGGACCTACTGATGTGGGACTAACTACATGTAGTCCCATAACCTTTGAGGTCCAGCCCACCAACCCAATATGGTTGTCACAATATCCCCACAAGCCTGCAGCAGAGGAGGGGATCTCAGAAACAATAGAGGGATTGATAGAAAAAGGGGTACTTGAACCATCAGCTTCAAGCTGGAACACACCTATCTTACCTGTAGAAAAAGCATGTACAGGTAAATTTTGCATGGCCCACGACTTGAGGGCCATAAATAAGATTCTTGTCACCCAAACCGTACCGGTACCAAACCCTTATGTAGCCCTAACTAATCTCTCCCCA